CCCCTTGGCCATTTCAAAGGGGTATTATTCGGCTATTTTAGAACTAAAAATTTTTGTTTGTTTCTTTTGGGTGTTTTTGTCTTAATCCTCACCGAGGATATTTTTCCCATTAACTTTTAGGGAGAGTGTGAGAGAGGGAAAGACAGAGAGAGACATCTCCGTGAGAGCAACACATCGATTGGTTGCCTCCTGCACATGACCAGGGCCCGGGCCGGGGAGGAGCCCGTACCAAGGTACTTGCCCTTGACAGGAATCGAACCCGGGACCCTTTGGTATGCAGACTGATGCGCTATCCACTGAACCAAACTGGCTAGGGCTAAAATAAATTTTTTAAACATGCTGTATATTTGGTATGCTTATCTTGGGTGGAGGGGGTCTGTGGTGGGAAAAGGGGGGCATCTGTAATACTTTTAGCAATAAAGATAAATTTAAAAATAACAGCAAATAAAAAAAACTGAGTCCTAGTCCAGTTAGGGCGGGGTTCTCCCTGAAGCAGACCAGAAATGGCCACAGTGGCCGGCAGCGTGGACACACGTGGCCGCTCAGAGCAGGCCACCTCCTTACAGAGGGAGCAGCCGGACCGCCACGCGCCAGCACGGGACGCAGGCCTGAGGTTCCCTGTGGGCCCGGGAGCAGGAAGTGGCCGTGGACGTGGTCGGCCACGCGCTATTGATAGTTGAAGTTGTGTGGCGTGTCCATGGGCTTCCTTATACTGTTCTGGGGCCTGTGCTTGAAAAGTCGCGTGTAAAGAGTGTAAAACCTAAGAGTCTCCTGAGGCTGTGGCCGTGACTTCCTGCCCCACGTCGGAGGGTCCCCAGGCCGGGCCGCCGCCCGAGGCTCCGTGGCTCCGTGTCCCGGGAAGCACCTGTAGTCCCGGGCGCAGGAAGTGTTACAGAAACTGTTACATGCAGAATGTTAGTGATGCTCAAGCACTGGGCTCATTCCTTCCTGAACCGTGTAAGAACCAAGGCAGGCACCTTCGGGAACATGTGCAACATGTATCGACAACATACTGAAGGCTTATCATTTCTGGGCCCGTTGCTACCGTATGAAACTTCACATTTGACAGAGGAAGTCTTGTAAAAACAAAAAGAGATACAGGATATAAGCCGTTTTTAGCTTGCTCTGTACAGAACACGTGACTGAGTAAAATTCTCAGGTTGCTAAACACGACACAGCATCCCCTGTACAGCACACAGCGATCTGCGGGCCTTCCTCTCCGCCTCCCCTGAAGAGGGAAACGCATCTTCCAGGCGAGTCGGTGGCCAGTGGCCCCGTGGCCGTTCAGAGCTCCGTGTGCTTTGTGCCAGCTCCGGCTCCCCTCTAAGGGACGGGGCCACTGCACTCACCTCGCTGTCTTCCGAGGCCTAAGGACAAGCATCAATGACAAACCCGCGTGCAGAGTCCGCCACTCACCAGAACATCAGTGAAAAGTTTGCAGAAATGATGCTTCGTAATCTCTCCAGAGGCAGTTCCGCTGTCCCTGCCAGAAGCCTTGAGAAGACCCAGAAGTAAGTGCCGTGGATGCATGTACCCTGGTCACCGCCGTCCCACTGTCCATGACCGTGGCTCCTCGGGCACCTCCTTGTGGAATGGTGCAGCACTGGTCCCTTGTGCCTGGCTCATTTCTCCGCACGACGTCCTCAGGGTTCCCGCAGGTGGCCGATTCCTCCCTGTGCGGGCGGAGCACTGTCCCTGCGTGTTTGGAGCCCCCTGTGGAGGGCGTGTTGGGTGCTTCTGCTCTTGGACCGAGTAGCACGCACTCGCCGGTTTGGTGCGAGTTGTCCTCGCTGCTAACAAAGCCGCTCCCCTTCTCGTGAACTTGTCCGTCTCTTCATTGGAGAAATGCCTGTTCAAATCTTTTGCTCATTTTTAAATTGTCTTTTCATTATTGAAATGTAAGAGTTCTTCATATTATTTGGGCCACTGCCAAATGTAATTTTGATGTTCTACATTCTAGTCTAACTTCATTTTCCTCCAAGTGGCCCATTATCCAGTACCGTGTGCTGAATAATCCATCTTTTTCCTGCTGTCCGAGTATTTCCTGAGCAGCGACGTTGGCGTAGGCCCCGAGATGAGGAAATGACGCAGAGCCTACCTGCTGGTCAGAAACACGCACTGTGAGCAAGTCGTTACTGTTCAGCAGAACGGTGCCTCCAGTGAAGGCTTGTGAAACTCACTTTGGGACACATGGAGAAGGAACACGAATGTCTGCCTAGAGCTGAGGGAAGGTGAACAAAAGAACAAACAAAAAAACCCTCGAGAAGAAGCCAGTGAGAACCAGTCACTGTCCCGGGATAGGAACCTTCACCCCTGAACACTGTGTTCAAGTAGCAGACATTTACTCCACTCTTCCCTGAAGTTGTACTTCATGTAAACATGAGGTTACATTCACGCCTTCCGTGTGAGTGAGCAGCTCCCTTCTTGCACGATGAAATAACCACACTCGTGTCTTAGTGCCTTCGTACTCCTATTAGAACAATTGTCACTTTATAGTCACAGAATAGAGGTAAAGAGAGGAACCCATTTTCCTATGGATCTGTTTGAACTGGCACGTTCCTAACTATTATCGAGAGAATTCCTGCGTGCTGAGCAGAACTGTCGGCTCTAACTCGTCACACACAGGATGTTTACGTAATAGCACGTGTCCCCTTTGTTACACGGCGTCACCGCACCTGCAGCAGCAGTAGCACAGCTGCGTCTCATACTCAGGTGGCTCCTAGAAAGACGGTTCACGTATTCTCGCGTTCTCTTTTTGGGTGATTATAGAATAAATGTGTCTTTATTTTTGTATATTTGTTGTATGGTAGACTCATCAATTATTTTATAGTTATGTTTTCTATAACAGTTATCAAACGTGCCCAAAATCTGTGACCAGAAACTTTGACTATATAAATGGGAAAAGTCTAGTTTGAGACATAAAGAACTAAATGTTCTATTTGTTTTTCTCAGCAGGCATTTTAATTGGTTTGCATTTGGCACTTTTGTCAGATTCCAAGTCATCCTTGAAATGGAGCTAACCAGTTGGAAAATAAAACCCACAGTAGCTATAGCTGGATGTAACCGGAATTATCGCACCTATATATTAGCATTCCGATTGCTTCACAAAGGCTTTTGAAATACTGGCATAAAGTGAACAACAAAAATTTAATTTACTCAGATCTAAAGAAATGAATTGGTTTCTGCGTGATTATCAACCAAAAGAGCATATTAATAGGTTTTAGGTGAAACAGTGAGAGTTTTCTTTAAATATAAGCTTACATTTTATCAGTAACTAGAGGCCCGGTGCACAAGATTTGTGCGGGGGGGGGGGGGGGGGGGGGGGGGCGTGCAGGGAAGCAGCTAAGTGGGGGGTTTGCCTCAGCCTGGCCTGTGCCCACTCACACTCTGGGGCTCTCGCAGTCCAGAACCCCTCGCTCCTTACTCTCCACCTGCAACGGAGGCAGGAGAGGCTCCCACCACCGCTGCTGCACTCGCCAGCTGTGAGCCCGGCTTCTGGCTGAGCCTGCTGACCACCAGGGGGCAGCTCCTGCATTGAGCTTCTGCCCCTGGTGGTCAGTGTGCGAAATAGCGACCGGTCGTTCTGCCATTCAGTCAATTTGCATATTGTGCTCTTATTATATAGGATAATAAAGAGCCTTTTCTTTATTTCTCCACAGTTCTCAGTGGCCTCTGTTCTAATGACTGTCCTCGTAAGATAACAGTAAGTAAACTCTCAGTTGTAAATATTTCTGAGAAATTTTTTGCATGAAAATAGATGCACACAAAATAGTTGTCATAGGTTACAGTCAAATCGGCACTCTGAAGATTGTTTTTAACAAACAGTCCCACCTGGTAGGGCTGTTCACACAGAGCAAGCTCCAGACTGGGGAATGCAGACATGCTGGGGGCGGGGCTTCTCAGGGGGCTGCCCGCCTTCAAGCAGTGACCGTTCTCTGGGGAGAACTGCTCAGGACGCCGACCCGTATATGAGAGACAACATCAGCTCCTAGAGATGTCCAACAAGATGATTCACTACTGCCCCAGGCTCAACTCTTTTTTTATTGCAGCCCTTTGGCGTGAACCAGCCTGGCCCTTACATCATGTACACAACCGTGGATGCAAATGGATATCCGAAAAATGGTTCGGGTAAGACCGGCACCAGTTCACAACGCACAGGACACCTGCAGCCAGTCTGTTGGCAAAGTCAGCTGGTGACAACAGCCAGCAGGCCTCCACGCTTCATAAACCTTCCCCTTCACGTCACACTTCGTCTTTCTGTGGGCGCTCAGCAGCGGGTCACAGGAGCTCCTCACGACAAATAGATCAATTCCTCAGATTTCCCGATGGTGATGGAGCCAAGCTGTTACATGATTCTTTAACTGAAGTAGCAGAGTCTGAGAGAAATGACTAGCGTTACCTTGATCAAATTGTGAAGTGGTAAATTAGTTAACAAAGCGCCACTCAGAAGAAATAAAAATTAGGAATCCAATCTATAACCTAAAGTAATCTTAGTTTTTTCCTAGTGGACTAGAAGCCAGAACATTACATAGAGCTGGTTTTGATATATGATCATAAAGAAAAACTCGAGCTCTACTGTTGAAGCAACAATAAAGGGAAATGCAATTCAGACAAAAGAGAAGTAAGACTAAGCGAAGCGGGTGAGCTCTCGACAGACGCCGGCGGCCTGAGAGGGGGTTCAGGTCGCAGTAAACACGACGGTGATCGCTCCGATCCTCTAAGTAAGAGCAGGACCGTAACCTGTCAGTGCTTCTCCGAGGCGCTAGGGGCCTCGCCGTGAAGAAGCGTCAGCCGAGTTGCTTTTATTCTCCATTTTTATGGACCCAGAATACGGGAGAACTCACCATACGGCCCCTTCTTGTTGTGTCTGACGGCCTCACAGCAGTACACCCCAGGAGTCTCCTTTTCAGCTAATTGTACACGTTTAAACTCCCAGTCATGCTCCTGCCTCAGCATAGAAACATCCCATAATACAAAAACTTCCAAATTTCAAGGAGAAATTGACAATTATAATCAAATACTTTATTTAATAGACGATGTTGGTCAAGGAAACGTAAATGAGGATATAGACAGTTTGAACAAATTACTTCTTTACATTTTAATTCAGATGCTTGTTAAACCAGAACATCCAGGACTCGCTGGTATTATCTTTCTTTAGCTTGAGCAAACATTATTCAGGCTTGTTTTTGTGTCAAAAAACATAAATCGGTAACAAAACGGAAAGAGCTAGAATGTCCTCTGGAATATCCATGACATGATTTCTCTCTGAAAAAACGAGTTTTTGCAAGAATTGTCCCCTTACCTTAATCTCACATCAACTAAAGATCTGACAGGAAGAGCCTCGTCAACAGTGCGGGGGGTGGGGGGGGTACTTAACTAGCGATGGTGACTTTTTCTCACTGGAAGGAAAGAGGGAGGGACGGAGGGACGATGCAGATACCTCTAAGCAGCAGCTGACCCCTCCCTTCGGCATAAGGACAGAAATAGGATGATTGAGTGAATGAACGACTTACATAACAGAGTGTGAGAAACTGAGAAAGTGTGCAGCTCACTCAGCTGTTCAGCAGTTAGAGATCCCGTCTGCACAGAGGCAGTGAGTCAGACATAGTCTGAAAAACCAGAGGAAATTAGAAACTGTAGGGCCAGACTTGTTAGAACGAAAGATTTCGCCTCATGGGATTCTATTCATGTTTTTAACAGTTTATCATTTTAATGTTTGATGAGCATTGTTTCCAAAGGTGTCTTTTTTTTCTTTTAATAAACGCAGCCGGACAACTCAGCCAGTCGGCACATCTCGCTCTCCAGCTGCCCTACAGTGTGCTTGGTTTAGGTCGAAGTGCGAATTTCCTCGATCATCT